GTCTACATCGATCCTTTTTCCGTTTTCAAGGAGTTCACTGACCGCTTGTTTCATCACTGACCGCTTGGGCGATGGACGGACCGCTTGTTTCATCACTAGGGGGTTGGTTCTGCATTTTCTTTTTGAAAGAGTTGTACTAGGGCAAGTGAGAACAAGGAGAAGAAGAAGAAGAACCTCGTTGAAACTCGTTAGAATGTTGAAACTCGCGCATGATCGTTACTTTTTTTTACAAATATGTTTTGTTGTTCGTTGTCTTTTTACCTTCTCCGAAGGGAAGGTGATCATGTTACCTTTCACATGAAAAGTTCAAAGAAACTTTCAACGCCTTCGACAGAGTTGACTGAAAGTTGTCTGAGAGGCTTAGGTCGATAGTTACTTATGAGAAATAAGTACAGGTTGATAGCCATGACATGTAGCTTTATGGCCAAGTAGTAAGGTTCTGAGGAAGGACTTAGGTTGAGAGCCTGAGAAGAGACTCCTAGTCTTCGAGAGCTTGAGAGGGACTCCTAGTTTCAGAGAGCTTGAGAGGGACTTCGAGTTTCAGAGAGCTTACGGGAAAACGACAACTGCATTGAATCTACTTCCCAAGCAAATATGCATGAACATGATAATGATATTATTTCAATTAAATAGTTGAACTGGGAGGATGTTGTGGTGTCATGATCACGAGGATGAGCGGTGACGAAACAGAAAATTTGCATTTTTGATGGTTGCGGACGACGTAGGACGGACCTGCGTGGCGGGATCTGTCCCGTATAAAGCCGCCAATGCACCGATCGGGACGACACCAGTAGAGACAACATCTACAAGCAGGACAAGTCATCTATCAACAACGAACCTTGTTTAATCAACAACATCACGATCAGCAACATCTCCCACGGCAAGGGCAAAATTGACATCAGTAACATGTTTTTGTTCCTGACAATCAAGGTGACACAATTAATCAGGACGCTAGCCCTGGAGAACAGGACGTGAAAGAGAGCTCTGGAGAGGAGGAAAAGGGAAGATGAGACGCAGACGTCTCGCACCACTGGTGCTTCTCCCACTTCTGTTTGAAGTAGTAGTGTCACGCAGACTACGTAAAAGGGGGAAGGCATCCAGTCTGCAGGATAGTCAGGATGGGTCCAGTGGAGGCAGGGATGATAGGAATTAAGGCTAGTCATGATTGTGCTTCATCTTACTTAGTTATTGGCCCAACTATCTAATAAACCTCCTTGAAGAAAGGCAAGGCTGATGATTCTTCATCTTTCCCAACTTATTGGCTCAACACCTTGAATGCGCACCAAGATGGAATTCGTTTTGGGCAAGGCGTAACTCTAAGATAAAAATCGGAAAAGTAAGAAAGATGGACGTGAAAGTCATGAGGGAGAGGACAGCGAACCATGGTGGTCAAGAATCTTTATTATGAATAAAGGTTATTTATATAAATATGCAATCAAGGACTCACTACATTGGAGCACTTTCTTTACATACATCATGAAGTCAATTCAGAAGTCTCAGCTCTCTCTTCCCTTTATTTTCCCAGTTTAGATCTGGAAGTTTGTTCTTGGTCTTGTTACTTATAAATATGAAAACGTACTACCGAAGAACTCACTGTAAAGTCTTGTATTTCCCCATCTATTCGATAGATGTAGAGTGCCGTCACCACTTGCTCACATGTAACAAGATGGAAAGACTACTTTCTTACCACCTGTTGTACCTTCATCTTTAGAGCGCATTTACCACTTTCATGTTAGAAGTAACTGGAGAAACACAGCGACGTCGTCGTCAGCGTAAGGGTCCAGAGAATGAGACCTTCGGCACTGGTACCGAAACAAATCAGACTGAAGGTGGCTACATCCAAGAAAATGGAGCTGAAACTTCTTATGGTCGAATTTGTGACAGAAATACTGTCAGACCACGTCTCTACGGTCACCATGAACCGTGATAACAGGGACAACAGCATGCATTTGATGTTTCAGTTTGACCCACCTTTTCATGAGTTTATTGCAAGCCCTCTGCCTTGCATCTTATTCTTCATGGCAGCAATTTTTTCAAGCAAAATTTATTATCTTTACACGCTAACAGGGGCAGCTGATGTATGACACAAGGACATCCGATGATACGACTTAATAATTGAAATCAATAGACTGCTACGGAGACTTGACGGAAGTCCTCTCTACATTTTTACTCCATGCAAGAAAGACTGAGTTTGGTATATCTCATCAATAGACTGCCTCTATATTGAGTAGCCTCGATCTTGATCTATCTAGCTCCTAACTCTCCTCTCCTATAACTTTCCTCTACTCGCCTATACTAACTCTTTCGCACTAGTATGTAACCACTTCATCTACGTCTTGCCTCCACGTAAAAAAAAACTCACCTCATGCCCTAAGTGGAGGCGTAGAAAAAGTAATGGTAATGGAAGGAACGGAATGAAGTGGGGGAAAGTAACCTTCGAGATACCATACCCTAAGAAGCCCTAAGGTTACTTTCCCCCACTTCATTCCGTTCCTTCCATAAAAAACCATTTTCCTCTACTTATACCTCCACCTAGTACAACTGTACAACAATCATTCACAGCCTGATACCTCCACACCTACCACCTAGTACAACAATCATTCACAGCCTCTTCTAAGAAATACCACTGGGTAAGAACACGACAACAGCCACAACATCTTCTGAGACGAACTCCGAAGATGTTGAGTACTATAGAGCTGACGCTGCCTCAGAAGATAAAAGCGCTCCTGTTAGGAGTGCTTTTCGAGGCAGTAGGAGACTGGCGGAACGAGCTGCAAGGAACAGGAAGGTCTCCAGGCAGAGCACCAGAAGTGGGCAAAACACAACGACAATCGACGATAGCACCAAGCGTACAATTACGTCGACAACTAGTCTACAACTGTATAATACCATGTCGAGCATTAATACAGTTGGAGTTACGTAGAGGACGTAACTTATCAAATAATTTTCATCGTCCTGCTTCTGACTGTGCATCGATTGTTAAGACAGAGTCCGGCACAGCTGGAACTGCAAAATGATCTACGTTTACAATGAGTGCACATTGATAAATCTCTTCGTGCCTTATGTGGTGCTCAGTGATTGGAATGGTTTCGTTGTGAAGCGTACAATTACGTCGACAACTAGTCTACAACTGTATAATACCATGTAGAAAACACCAAACTAAGACTTACTTCGACAATTAGGCTACTGGATCATGTACTTGTAGGCCTGCTAAACTTTTTATGCCAATAAACGTAGTCTACAAGAAGAACTGTGTATGGTCCAACACAACAGACGACCATCGTCCACTATAGACACGATAGGTAGATCATAGGGTTTTTTATCTCAATGAAGATCATGTTGCGAAAGTGGTATGACTCTAACACTGCGGAAACCGTCATCGACAACCAGGCGAGCCAGGGTACAACAACAGGTGAAACGTTCATCGACCACCAGGCAGGCAGGGGTACCGCAAGTGCTAACTCTGTCGCGGTAAGGAAGACGGCAGTGAAGCCTGAGGGTGAGGCTGAGGGTGCAGGTACTAGGGCGACGGGAGGTGAGGTCGAGGGTGCGAGTAGGGCGACGGGAGGTGAGGCTGAGGGTGCAGGTACTAGGGCGACGGGAGGTGAGGTCGAGGGTGCGAGTAGGGCGACGGAAGGTGAGGGTGCGAGTAGGGCGATGGAAGGTGACGCTGAGGGTGCAGGTAATGGGGGGACGCGAATGGGTGGAGCAACACGAAGGAGGGGGTCTAAAAAGAAGAAGTGGAGTGAGAGGGGTACTGCAATGAGGTCTTCCACCAATGCTGATACACACTCGCTCAATATCACATCCTTTCTCGAGGACAGGACGAGCACATCTTTTAAGAAGACTGTATAAATATTGAAAATAATAATCTTTTCTTTGAGCAGAAGCAAGACGGCATCGACTGACACTAAATCTGTATTTTTGATTCTAGTTTTTTACGTCGTCTGAGAAGACTAGAAGAGTCTTCATGGCCTTTTGAGGATAAGGCTAGCTTCTTAAAACACAAACTACGCAAGAAATTGGCTCTTTCTCTCCCAGGCAGGTCAAATGTGTACTTGGCACAACTGGATGTTGTATTATCATATGCTCAAAGCACTATAAGACGCGCGCGCGAGCCCAGCCGGCCCCGCGAGCCTGGCCGCGAGCGCACCCCCCCGCGCGCGTTGCGCGCGCGCGCATGGCCTTGGCGAGCCCGCGTCGGTGGGTCCTGCCCCGGCGAGCTTGAGCTGGCCCCGCCCCGGCGAGCCCGAGCCGGCCCCGCCCCGGTGAGCTTGAGTCGGCCCCGCCCCGGCGAGCCTGAGCCGGCCCCGTGAGCCCAGCCGGCCCCGCGAGCCCGGCCGCGAGCACACCCCCCCCGCGCGCGCAACGCGCGTGCCCGAGCCGGCCCGGCTCTGGCGAACCCGAGCCGGCCCCGCGAACCTGGCCGCGAGCGCACCCTCCCCCCGCGCGCGTGACGCGCGCGCGCATGGCCCCGGCGAGCCCGCGCCGGCCCCGCCCCGGCGAGCCCGCGCCGGCCCCGCCCCGGCGAGCCCG